ATTTTTTTTTTTTTTTTTTTTTTTTTTTTTTTTTTAAACTTGAGAAATTATTTCTTTTCTGGTTTTTCTCTGTTCTTCTCCATTGTTTCTGCTGTCATTTCAGAGAATTCCAGTCACTGGCTTCTGAGTTTCTCTATCTTTTTGTCCCCTGTATTTATCATGGCTGGGCTGGAAGTGTGGGGTTTCATTTTGCTTCTGCTTCTTATCATTCTCTGTTCTTTTATTTTAATTTGTGTATGTTGATGCTTATAAGTAGCTTTATCACTAAGGCTTCCCTAGGAAATGCCCATCCCTGCAGATGTCTTTTAGGTTTTCGCTCTTTGCGTCTGTCCCAAGGTCCTACCTTCCCAATTTATTAGAAATGTAAAGTTGCTGTGTATTTGGCTCAGCTCTCAGTACTTTGGTACAGAAGTATGATGATGATTATGATTCCAGACAACCACAGTGTTGCCATACAAGGGAGAACAATTGATTATAACAGGTTCCATGTCCTAATGTAATTCAATTAGAAATAACAGTGTTGGGCTCGGGATTTAACTCAGTGGTTATGCTGCTGCCTGCTTTGCGAGTACAAGGACCCAAGTTTGATACCTGGTAACAAAAAAGAAAAGAAAAGAAATAACAGTGTCTTCACACATAGCCTAGAAACTGACAAACTGTGATAACTGCCAATTTGGTACTTTTAACTATAGGAGCAAGATTACAGTTACATAACAAAAACCAGCAACTTGTAAGCGGTGAGTTTCTCCTTGGTAGTGATTTTACTTGGTGAGGGTGGATTTAAGAGGGATGGGGACAAAACAGTGATTACTGAATAGAAATATAGTAGAAGCAATGCTGAAGGACAGATGGTCACACAAGCTTTGGGAACTGGAGAAGAGGACAGGAGAGAAAGGAGAAAGCAAAAGAACGTCTAAGCAAACCAGAAATAAGTAGCAACAGTATTCATTCACATGAAAATATCAAAATCAGGAAAGACTGTAGAAGAAAAAGAAACAGGACAGGCAAAACAAAAAGTCAAAACCCACCCTCCCCCCTCCAAAAAAAGGGGAAAAAACCCAAATTATGAAGAGGGAAAAAATTCCTCTGTTGCCTAAAGTTCTGGGATAGTGCCCAAATCAGAGCCAAGTCTACAGTAAGCTTAGTGCTGAGGGCAGAGGCTGGTCTTGGCCTCCACTGTGGGGGCTGTGACTAGTGTTTAGGTAGCATCTTTTTGGATGACCCAGCTAAGTTTCCATACCCTGTTTGTCTCTTCATTGTTCTTTCGATTGCTACGGTACGACAGACAACCCAGGGCTGTTCTCAATCCCATGTCTCTCCTGAACCTTGCACAGCCTTCTCTGTACCATACCACTAGTTCGTCTCACCCACTGCCCTTGTCACAACACTGCAGCCCAAGGCTGCTTGGCTGTTGGCCACAAGTCTGAGGGAATGCTGACTTCACAGCCCAAGAGTGCTTATGCAAATAGTCGAAAGAGGGAGTGTACTGCCTTCCTGGGCCAATGTTACTTGTGCCACTAGTCACAGGGCAAATCTTTTATCTGATCTGATGAACTATGTTAGTTGCCTTGGTGATTGTAAAAAAAAAAAGTGATTTCTAGGTTTCAAATACTTTAGGCTGGAGTGTGAGATATCAGTGTTCTTTTAAAACTACTTCAGAAACTCAGATTAGATTGAAAGCACTTAAGTGAATATGGAAGAAAAGGGATTTGGTGGCTTTCTACCAATACTCATGATATGAAATAACAAAAAAACTACATAGCCTCTAGTTTCATTAATTCCTAAGATAAATGATGATTCTGCAGAGAATTACCAGTAGGACTTGTTTTCCTGGTATATAACTATTTGTGCAGCAATGTGAAGTTAACAAGGTAAAAGTATTAATTTATTATGTCTGTCTCATGTATACTTCTGTTATTAACTAAAGAATGGTGATGCTTCTGTACAAGTTAAAATTGCAATAATTGTTTACCCTTTTTAATATCTGATGTATTTATGCCCTCATCCATTTACTTTTAGGTTATAAAATGGTCTCTATAGGAACTTGTTCATGACTTGGAGATTTTTAGGACTTTCATGTGTTGGTAGTTCATCTCCCATAAGTGGACTATAATTTCTTCTTTTAGGACAGCCACCTATAGATTAGTAAAGATCTGTTCTTCGATGAGCATGACAACCACAGCTCATGGCTCTCCACTACGAGGGAGTGACAGCCATGGCCAGACTCCTGATGGACAGTCTCAGCCTCCCTTCCAAGTGAACCAGGTACAGTTAAGTTTATGTTCTTTTAGGTACTGTCCAGTGTAATACAATGGAGTATATGTTCTGAATAACTTTTAGTCGTTAGAAACTATTGTTACTTTAAGGTATTCTTGAGAATTTCACAGTGGTTTTAAATAATAGGAAAACCTCAATTACTACATGTTTTGAAATACTGGTCTTGGTTTTTGTTTTGTTTTATTCTAAATGTAAATCTGAAGGCCAGGGGTTAAGTTAGTCATTATAAGTTTCATGAAAAGCATTGGCCCAAATACCTGTTTGCTAAATATCGTCTTTGTACATACATAACTATATGACTGCTAAGTATGAAATCCAGTCCTGCTTTCCTATTTGTAATATAATGATAGATGAAATATTTTAAAGAATTAACATAGGTTTTAGTATCAGAGTTTTGCATTGACCTAATTGACACAAGTTATTTTTCTCTTTCCCTCAGTAGAAATTTAAGAAAGTTTTCTAGTTCTTTTCCCCAAATGGAAACTTAGGTTATTTGATTTCTAGTATTTTTAAATATTAAAATATATGTATTAAATGCTACATATGCATTATAACGTGTAGTCGTATGTTTCACATTGTTTAGAAATTTACTCCACAGTTGTCCAGTATGTATTTATAATCTGTTGATACACTTCAAATAATGTAAGGAATAGTACATATACCTTATAAACAAAATAGCATTATAACCAAAATAGATGATCTGATCACAAGGACAGTTACTAGATGATTAACTAGCCAGGAACATTCAAAGTGATAACTACACTGAAAGGCTCTTTGCATTCAGGCAAGAAGTTGGGTGATGTTTAAATCATGTTACTGAGTAAAATTTTTAAATTTAAATTTAAAATTGAAGAATTTTGTGTTTCTTCTTTCCTTTATCATTTTTAGACCACAATTGGCTTGGGTAACTGAAACTGTCAAAATAGAAATTTAGATAAGTTGCTGTTGTTGGAGTGGTTTCATTTGTTTCACTCTCTTCTTTCTGCTTTTCTTATTACACATGCTATACTGTTTGCATTTCTGGAAGTCCAAACAACAAGCACAACAGGATCATCCTTCATTCTGTTTGTCTTATGTCTTGAGTTTAATTTTGATACTTAGTTGGAATTTTCATGTCTTTGTTTACATTTCCCATCTGTTCTCTTACCCAGTGGAATTCTTAGCAAATTAATGATAATTTTATTTGAAATATCTAACATTCCTGCTATTGACAGCTTTTTCCTTAAAACTGTTCTTTGAGCTAGGGATTTAGCGGGGTCATGCTGTCTGTGCCTGCATTGGCAAGCGCAAGGTCCTGATTTTGATCCCTGGTTAAAAAAACAAACAAACAAACAATTTTTTTGCATATTGGTATGCCTTGAAATTTATAGCTAAAACAAGTGTACAAAGGGAGTTTGGTAAAAAGGCCTCCAGGAATGAAGAGATGCCATCTTAACCCCCAGCATACTAGGTTTGACTCTATCTCTTACTTTTTTATTTACTTTTTCTCTGAGTTCTTGTATTTAAATTGTATTTCTGTCTTGTGTAGCTTGTTTTGTGTTTTTATCTTACTGTTTTTGATGGAATATTTAATCCTTGTTCTTTCATAATAAATACTAATACAGTAAGGTTTTTTTCATCCTTGTACTATTTTAGATTGAGTAGTGTATTCGTTTATTTTCTTCCTTTTATATATATTAGATACTTTATCATTTCTGTAGTGAGATCTGAATGATTACTTTTTTCAAGTATTTAAATTATATATTTGGGCCAGGTATTTAGCTGAGTGGCACTGTACCTGCCTGGCAAGCACAAGGTCCTAATTTGTTTCCTGGTACCAAAGGAAAAAAAAAATTACATATATTTTCACTAAATTGATCACTCATGGGTCATGTTTGTTTTCAAGGCTTTTTTCCTTTTGATCTACCGTAATCCTACTTTCCCATCTAGGACATAATATTAAGTGTAGAAAATTGTGTGTACATTTCGGAGGTTAGATGGCGTCTAAAAAAAAAATTACATATTTATTCACTAAATTGATCACTCATGGGTCATGTTTGTTTTCAAGGCTTTTTTCCTTTTGATCTACCGTAATCCTACTTTCCCATCTAGGACATAATATTAAGTGTAGAAAATTGTGTGTACATTTCGGAGGTTGCAGATGGCGTCTCTTAGAGAATTGTTCTCTGTTTTGAACAGTGGTGTTGGATACTTTAGTTCATTCACAAGATTGTTGAATCAGAGCTAGATAAAAACAGATTTTTATTTTGTTCCTTTTACTTTTATACTCATTATATTCTCTAGTATATTCTGTGTTTCTTTTCCTCCTGTTGATTCTAAACGTTGGTTGTGATTAGCATGCTGAAAAACTTGGTTCTTTTTAGAAACTTCGGTTTAGATTTTGTCATTGCTGGCTGCAGTACCTAAATATTCATTCACACTGTATCTTAACAAAATCAAACTTTTTGCTTCAAGTTTTATGTATAATTTGTTAGAATTTTGTTCAGTACCCAGATTGCATTTTCTGTAACCTTTCACTTGGCTTGCAGTGGACTTTGATCTAGTTGTAAGTCTGCTGATCATTGGGTCTATTCTACAAAAATTGAATCACTTAATTTTGTTTCTGGAGTATTCCACTTCTCTTAATCTTAAGTTTATTACTATTTTGTTTTTTATTAAGTTAATTGGTACATTTTAGGTATATAATAACACTTACATTCAAGGTTGGGAACTTGTACCTTTACATACTGTATCTTGGTTCTTAATTTTTCCCCATTTCCCTGACCTCAGTTCAACCCATCCACCCCTTCCTATTAAGCAGGTTGTATAATTGTGAGTATTATATTTGGAATGAGCTCAGAGATGTGCCTGTTTTGGAGTTTGTTTATTTGGGTTTTTTTTGTTTTTTAAGTTTTTTTGTTTGCTTTTTAAATTTGGTTGAATGCAATAAAAGTCACTCTTATGTATATATCCTGACTTTGTGTGTGTGTGTGTGTGTGTGTGTATGGACTACTTTGACGAATGGAAAGGCTTGTAACTTCTGTTGCAAAGAACATGTAGAACACATTTGTTCAGCTTTTATTAATTTTCAATGCATGTTAACCACTGATACGATTTTCACAAAGTTTACTTGTCCTTTCATATAAATAGAATCATATTTGATTCTATAATCATATAAATAGAATCTGATTGTATACAGATACAATGTATTTTAAATTTTTTCATGATGTTATTGCAAGTAATAGTTTTTATTGCTGAGTAGTGTTTTTTGTATAAATGTACCGAGTTTGCTTATCCATTTGCCCTTTGAAGCACATTTGGGTGATTGAAGAGCTCAAGGTACCAAACAGTTTATTGAAAACTAAGTAGATAACTAGGGTGCAGAAACTATTACAATTTGGAAACCTTTCTGGTTTAAAAAAAAAATGAGGCCAAGACTGTTGCACAAGAAATCATAGAAAATATTTGAGAAAAAAATAAATGTAAAGCTTGTTCTATACAATCTCTTCCAGGTACATTTTCCCCACCCACCACTGTGTTTGGCAATCCAAATTAATTTTCTTTGTGGATTTCTTCTCTGAACTACACTGAGAACAAATTATTGGCAGTAAGAACATGTAATTATGAATTTTTTTGTAAAAATTCCCAGATTTAGATTTAGATTTGGATTATAAAAGTGAAAATATTAAAACAACTATACATAATGGACAACTAGTAAAATCAGTGATAAATGAAGCTATAAAGATACTGTGAAATTATTAAACTTCTATATACCTGTGGTAAAGAGTATATTAATGCCTGCTTGCTAGAATGAAATTTTCTAATATATGCCACTTGTTTTAAGTGTGTAAGTGTGCGCTTATGTATGGTAGAGAGTAAAGCCAGAGCTTGTATCCTGAACCCCTAGAAGTGGTTTATCCTGTTTTAATGATTTTATTCTTATATTCCTATTCTTAAAATGTTACTTGAAGCTTATCTCAAAGATTTTTGTTTTAATTTTAGCTTTAACTCATATAGTAAAATATAGCCACTCTTCATCTTCTTAATAATGTGGGGAAAATTAAATACTTAGATATAAATATTGAACAGTTTTAAAATACATATTTTCACATAAACTGCCATGGCGTATGAATTGTATAATTATAGGAAATTAAGTCTGCAATATTTCATTTTTAATTAAGACCTCATCACCTGATTCTTCTAATGAGAATTCCCCAGAAACTCCTCCAGAGCAAGGTCAGGGTGATGCTCCAAAACAGAATGAAGATGAGGAACCTGCTTTTCCCCATATTGACCTTGCAAATTTGGATTATATGATCAACAGGTTTGTTTACTTTGATATTTATGTAATGAACTGAAAGGATGAGTCAGCACCAGTATTCTAGTTGGTATAAGAAAAGAGTAGACACCACTGAGCCAAAAATCTTAACTTTCTTTTTAATAGACTTAACATATTAATAATAGCCAAGAATTTTATTACTGATTGTCCTTAGTGCAGATATTTCATTGAGTGGGGAAAATTGAAAGGTTTTGACAATATGAAAATATTCCAAATTGATGATTTATAGCCCATTTGTATATTTCTTTTTCTGTTTGTTTTGTTTGCTTGTTTTTGGTTTTGGTTTTAGTTTTGGTTTTTTGACACAGGGTCTCACTATGTGGTTGAGACTGACCTGTAATTCACAGCAGTCCTCCGGCCTTAGCCTTAAGGAGGGCTGGGATTACAGGTGTGCGCCACTATACCTGGCCCTTTTGTGTACCTCTGGCCTAGACTGTTCAGGGGCTTGTGAGGTCCATATCTCTTTTTTATGTTCTCCATAGCACATGTCCTAAGGACTTTTCTAATTTGTAGAATGTCTTATTTTTCTTTATATCAAGATAACTTTTACTAAAGGTTATATTTTTGCTTTTACTCTTTCCTAGAGTTAATTTTTAGTAGTTTTTATTTTTCATGAGGACTAGTAAATACTTAGTGGTAGGTGGTTTTGTGTAAACCAGAGGAATAAAAAACGTATCAGTTTACCTCAAAGATTACTTGCTTTTTAGGGGGAGACAGTTTCACTGTGCAGTTCAGGGTAGCCTTGAACTTTGTAGTTCAGACTGGCCCCAAATTCACAGTAATCCTACCTCAGCCTCCTGAGTGCTGGAGTTACACGTGTGCACCAGCACATCTAGTTCCTTCAGACATAATTTGTAATCAGGTAGTTTTCTATTAAAACAGGTACTTGGTGATTTTGCTGTCTCATTATACACTAACAAAGGTACACAGGGAAGAAAGGGTTTTTTAATTTACTGATTTTTTAAAAATACATATTTGTAATACTTCAAGGTCACATCTGTCATAGGGAATCTGTACCTGTTCATAATATAAATTCTTATTTCCCACTCCTTTTCCCATTTACAAAAGCTTTGTGTCCATTTTTTTCTGGAAAGAAAGGTTTGAAAGGTTTCTGTGGAGAGTAGTAAGTAAGTTTAAATGCCTGAGGTTTTTATGAAACTGGAGAAAGAAATAGTTGTACATTGTGGCTTTTGCATCAGGTTTTAATGTAGATACTTAACAGTGTCTTAGTATCTTTTAGACTTGCTTTTGGACCTAGGGTCTTTCGTAAATCTTCAGGAAAAATTGATAAAAATGTCTTATTGAGTTGAAGTGAGGTAGAAATTGGGTGTTAGTAACTTTGCTTTGGTCTTTATGAAAAAGAATAAAACTAAATGTGAACCTTAGAGCATTTTCCATTTAACAAGAGATACATAAAAGTGACAAGGGAATATTTTAGTTTTAGTTCTCTGAAATCAGTTTAGTGCATTATCTTTCATTGCTTTTATTCATTTAATGTGCCTTGAAAATCCTCTATGAAAATTAAATATATGTCTCAATTCCATAGAAAAAATAATTTGTCAGCTTCTTTTTTAATAAAAAAGGGTGAATATGATAGATAGGTTTTTTTTACTCTTTTGTAATGAAAGTACTTGAAGTAATCTTAATAGTACTTGATTAGTGTTCAATGAATAAGCATCTTTTTATTTTATAATAATTTGTAGGTCTCAGTGGATGGTTCCTGTTTTGCCGAAAGGGGAATTAGAAGTACTTTTAGAAGCTTCTATTGATCTTAGTAAAAAAGGTGAGTTTTAGATGTTAAGTTTTTCATAACATTGCTATTATATGTTCTTAGATATCTGCTTTTCTCTATTACAAAGTTATTCTCAATTCATAGTGTATCACTAATTTTTCTCATAGGGCTTATTTTATATTTATATATATATTTATATATTTATACACACACACGCGCGTGCGCACACACACAGTACAGTTACATTAATGATTGGGTTCCCGTACCTTTACATGACAGATCTTGGTTCTCACTTTTTCCCCATACTTGTGTCCTCCCTTCATCCTAAAAAATAAATCTTACTGTGCAGAATAAATACCTTTTGGGTGTTTTGTTTGTTTTTGGTTTTTGGTTCTGGCAATCGAACTTAGAACCTTGCACTTCAAGGCAAGCAGTGGTACATCTGGGCTAAATTCTTATTTGTTTGGCTTTTGGTTTTTGGTTTTGTTTGGGTTTGGTTTGGTTTGGTTTATGTTTTTGGTAATGGAGATCAAACTCAGGACCTTGCACTTACGAAGCAGGTAGTGGCACCACTGAGCTAAATCCCAGCCCTGAAATTTTTTAAAGTACCAAGTTTTGAGTGAAAGCATATGGATTTTGCTTCTTTAAATTAGATTAAATTAAAAAGAAAGCTAAATTTGATGAAAAATGGCAAATTGGTAAATTGCCAACATAATTAATTTGGTCTTTAAAATTGCAACTTTAAATTTTAAACTGTTTGAATCACTAAAAGACTTTGATTGAAAGGAGTTTATCTCTCAGTAACTCAAAGTTCGTTATACTCCATTTATTCACACTATTTGGTTGTGGTTTTGGACAATTTACTGTTTCTGCAATTAAAGCATATTTTCATGCATTTTTTTCTTTTCTTTTTAAAATGAATTTTATCCCATTCCCTCACTCCAACTACCTCCCTTCCCTGTGTACAAAAGCTTATTTACATTTTTCTTCTGCTTTCACTTTTTTCTTATCCCTTCCTTCCTTTCTTCCATCTTCCCTGTTCCTTGTCCCATTTGAACACGGTTCCCATTTCCCAGTACCCATTATGGTCTCAGTCCTTATTCCACAGTTTTTTAAATGGGAGAAACAATGTGATACTTAAACAAGTGTGTCCAATTTATTTGACTAAAGAGCATGGTCTCAAAGTCTGTCCATTTAGCTATAAATGTCTGAGGTTCATCCTTTATGGCACAATAGTACTCCACTGTGTTTTTTAAAAAATCTTCTTTATTCACTCACTAATTGAAGGGCTTCTGGGCTATTTCTTAAGATTAGATATTAAAAATTCTGCTGCTATAAACATGGTTGTGCATAAATAACTGGTATGATCATTTAAATTCTTTTGGAAAGATCCCAAGAAGAGATTATGGCTGAGTCAAATGGAACCTCTAGTTTTAGTGTTTTGAGGAAACTCCACATTGATTTCCACAGGGGTTGCACCAGTCTACACTCCCACCACCATAGAGAAGGCTTCCTTTTTCCTCCCAACCCCACCAGCATTTGCTTTTATTTTGTTTTGCTTTTCTATTTTAGTGCCAGGGATCGAACTTGCATTTGCAAGGCAGGTAGTGGAACTACTGAGCTAAATCCCCACCCCAGCATTTGTTAGTGATTGATTGAATTCTTGAAAGCAGCCGTTCTTCATGGAGTGAGATGGAATCTCAGTGTTGTTTTATTTTTCCATCTCTCGAGTGACCAGTGATGTAGAATATTTTTTCATATATATATTTACTGCTTCAAATTTTATCTGAAAAATGTCTTCTTGTTTCAGATATTCATTTTTGCAATGGGTCTTTAAATATGAGAGTTTGGATTTTAGCTTTTGAGTTCTTTGCATAGTCTAGATTATAGTTCTTTCTCTGAATAGCTGATAAAAATTTTTCCCACACAGCTTTGTCTCTTCACTTAGTTGGTGCTTTCTTTTGCTTTACAAAAGCTTTTCAGTGAAGTCCCATATGTTGATTCTTTGTAGTATTTTGATTGTGAAGTCTTTGCCTTGGGGAAGAGTTTTTTTTTTCTTAATCATGGCTAATTGGAGTCATTTTTAGGTTAGCCTCATTTATCTGTATGTCAATTTCTTTTTCCCTCTTTGGGAAGTTCTCTGCCTTCTGTGAACAGGTTCTTTATGATATTTGTGCTATCTCTTGCTTTTTTCATTGACTCCAATTTTAGGTAGTTATGTGGGAAATTATTTCTGCTTTGACTTTCTTCTGGAGTCTGGTTCATCTGCTTTGTTACTTTTGCTATTACCACTTTAAGGAGACTGGGTGGGTGGCTTTCAGATTTTTCCAGTTCATTGCCCTCAGGGTTTGCATTTGGTGAGCTGGACGTGTGGTGGTTGCATCTTGTTTAAGTGTGTTCTCGTTTTCTATTTGATTCCTGTGTTGATACTTGTAAGTTGCTTATGGCAAGTAGCCTTATTGCCAGTAGTCAGAATCCTTAGGAAATGACTACTTCTCAGAACCATTTTCCAGGTGTAGTTAGATTTTGGATTTTGAATCTATCTCTTCAATTTATTGGGGATGAGAAGTTTCTGCTGTTTCTTTGGCACTAGCCTGTAGAGTTTTTTTTTAAAGATGCGTAGGCAGTCTCAGTCTGGTATATCAGGAAGTCACCTTGGGTAACATAGTACAGTCCACTACAACAATAGCATTAAATCCAGCCTAGGAAAAGACAGACTGTAGTCCTTAACGTGACTTTTACCATTAGGGAAAAGATTTAAAGGGGGTAAAGGGTAAACAAAAGAGAAAGAGGTCAGATGCAAAGCTGAAGGAGAACTTAGGAAACTGGTAAAGAAGACAGGTGGGAAAGAAAAAAGGAAAAAATAAAAACAGGAACAGACCAACAACAAAAAACTAGAAACTGTTCAAACAATCAAAAAACTAAACAAAACAATAACTGCAAAGGAGGAAAAACTGAAGGAAAAAAGATAAAAAGCCTAAAAAGTCCTGTTCAAGGTGTGTCTCAAGCTGTCACTGTCAGTGTGGGCAAACAGGCTGCAGAGCCAAATCGATTAATCCCAGCAAGCTAGCTGCAGCATCATATTGGGGTAGTAGATAATCCCAACCAGCCTGCCCCTTTAGTTCCTCTGAAGGTCAGGCCACTTTCTGGCTATGCGGGTAGAACTGGATTCTTTGAGCCTATAACTGTCTGTGTGTCTCTTGCCAGCTTAAACTCTGCTTCCTAACCTCCTTCTACCTTGAACTCAGCACTTGCATCAAGGCACCAGAAGCCTCTAAGTAGAATCTACCCATAGCTATTCTAAAATCAAAGCTTAGTAGACCCCTCTCTAAGATGACGGACGACCAGCCAACCACCCTCTCCTGGATGAGGTCTGAATTTGGATAACTCACCAACCACTACAGTCTGGCTTGTCCATTGCTCTTTTCCACTGGTGCATTTCCCCATGGAGGGCTCTGGAGTTACCAGTAGTCACTGTGCATCTGCAGTTCTGGTCTGCCCTTCCTCTTTTGGAGGGTCAGGAATCTGGGAAATAGCACTGCTTGGTACCTCCCTCCTCTTTGTTAAGGTCTCTTTTCACTCTCCCTGTGGACTTCAACTCTCACCTCAGATCCTTCTTGGGTCCCAGGGACCCACTTCCCTCTTCCTCCTCCTTTCTCTGCTCCTCACCGTTCTACCATCTTCCCAGAAGTCCTCTCCAGTACTTTATACTTTATTTCAAAATCCACCATTTTTGTCAGATGGTACTCATAATAATAATTTTTAGCAGTGTATGTTTAATAATATAATTGGATAATTTATATTTAGTATACTCTAAATGTTTTCTTCACACTAGACTGATTCTATTTTTTTTACTCTTTCCTTAGGTCTTGATGTTAAAAGTGAAGCATGCCAGCGTTTTTTTAGAGATGGCCTAACAGTATCTTTCACTAAAATCCTTTTGGATGAGGGAGTGAACAGATGGAAGTTTGAGATTCATGTGAGTCTTGATTTTTAGCATTCAAATTTAATTGATGATTCCTGTATATTGTCTACTGATATATTACTGAATTGAAAACAGCATGGTTTATTAAACTGAACTTCAGATTTTTGAGTTATGAAACCCTCGTTTAATTTGTTACATGGAGTTTTATGTGCCTTATAACCCCACATACACACAGCACAAAACATTTCATCAAAAAATATGGTATTGTTAATTATAAGAGTCAACGTGTGTTAGATCCATTTGGAAAGAAAAACCTTTTAAAGTAGGAACTTCAGTAGTAGACTATTGGTTTAACTAGGATACCAAAGTATGTAATTTTAGTGCAAGTGTAACTTACAATACACAAATGTCAAGGAATCTTGATGCCTTACAGAAGGAAAAAAGATACTCTTCCTAGGCATTTAAGCCATAAATCAATTATCATACATTTGTTCTATAAATTCAAACTACAGTTTTGATACCAAAATGACTGGCAAAAGGAAAACAGGTGCTCACACATATGTTGCCTTTTATCTAGGACAAAAATAAAGCAAAGTGCTGCCAAGTTTAAGACAGCTCTGTGTTGGAGAAATACTATAGTAGAATATATTTTTTCCTGTTACTGTAACTGTACCAGATCTTTAGTCTGAATAAAACTTAATCAAAAAGTAAAAAAATATGAAGTATTTAGAGTTAGTGACACTTTCATGCATTCTGGAGAACTGAGACCCTGTCTCAATAAGTGGCAGGGAGTGTAAGGGAAAATACAGAATTTTTGAAGAGTCACTTCGTCATTTTCCAAAATGACCATGGACACTATAAATACCAGGAACTTCTGAATTGACATGTAACATTTTTGGTGTAGAAATAAAGAATGTTGAAAATGATAATGTGATTTGTGTGTGTGTGTGTGATTTTTTTAATTAAGGCCTAAAATGCAAATTTCTTTGGTCATGAATAATTGACATAACTTTAAATATTTAGCTTTTATAATTTTTTCCTCAAAATCAATTATAAATAGAAAAAGTGGTATTGTATGTATCCTGTGAGCATAAAGTAGTTACAGGCAGTGTATGGTTCCTGTTTCATTTGTAATCTTTTAAAATTAACTTTGGAATTAGGTGAAAAATTATGAAATGAAGTAAATATTAAATCTCTTCCCGTATTTATCTGATGACAGTATTTTGAGTTATACAGAGTCAGACAATCAGAATGTGAGTGAAGAAAAAAGATGAAAGGAATATTTTTGTGTCTGAAATTGCAGTTTTCTTATTCTAAAGGATATCTTCTTTCCCTCCTCCCACTTAACAGAGGCATGTTATTAATAATACTCATCGCCTAGTGGAGCTTTGTGTGGCCAAATTGTCCCAGGACTGGTTTCCACTTCTCGAACTGCTTGCCATGGCCTTAAATCCTCAGTGCAGATTTCATATCTACAATAGTACACGTCCATGTGAATTGATTTCCTCAAGTATTCAGTTACCAGAAGATGAACTCTTTGCCTGTTCTCCAGATCCTCAATCACCAAAGGTGTGTTGATTTGTTATTTTTTTATATTAAGTATTAAAAAACTGTGAGGCTGGTTTGTTTTGCATTGCTCAAAGATCAGTAGTGATACACACCAATCAAAATAAAAGAGTGAACCAGTCAAAACATAGTCCTGTTTTATATAGGTTTCTAATTCAAGGTGAATTTTTTTGTACATATTATTGACTAATTGACATTGAACTCATGGTAATAACTAAGTCGTATGGGAAAAAAAGCTTCTTACATACTGATACAGTTCATCAATATGCTTATTGCAACCTGACCCTGTATCTCAGGAACAGTGATTCAGTATTTGCTAACTGACTCTGGAGAACATAATTACTTCATGTGTAACACTGTGCCTCAGTATGTGTATGTTTAGAAATAGCAGAAAACATTCTCAGATCTAAAATTTTGTGTTCTTTTTATAAGGTAGGCATTCTTTAAAATGCACTTGGTTTCTTAGTAGGTTAACTTAGCATTCACCAATATCTGAATTTTGAACAGGGAAGTTACTTCATTCTACTTTATACTTCACAAAATTACAATTTACTGCAGTCATGGTACAATAAAAACTATACAGTTGCAACAAATACCTCAGAAGAACTAAGAAAAACAACCAGGACTTCTGACCCAGCAGGCAAGGACACACATAAGACTTCTAGCTTTGTATATGTATTAATGTCACTTTAATGACTTTTTCGCATCTCACAGACAATCTGATTACGTTACGTTTGATTGCCAACAGGAGTTTTAGCTTGTAATCATTTAGGCACACACACGTACACATATGTATACATGCACACACATTTCAAAAAGGAAAACAAAATGGTACAGAGTACCTTCAAAATGATATAAAATTTCTGTAAACAGAATTTTTTTTCTTTCCAACGTTGATATGTCTTTTTTATTTTTCTGTGGCTGTGACTTCCAGTTATTGTATTGGATAAAAGTGGTGAAAGCAGACGTTTGGCTTATTTCTAATCTTAGGAAAAAAGCTTTTAGTATTTTACCATTGAATACGATATTGTCTGTGTGCTTTTTTAAAATTGTAATTAGTATACACAGCTAGTTTCCTTCTGTTAAGAAAGGGTTGAATTTTCTCAGTTTCTTTCTTGTATCAAGTAAGATTATTTGGGGTTTTTCTTTCTGTTAATGTGATGATTTACACTGAATGTTGTATACTGAAGTCAGTTTCATTCAGGAAAATATCCGTTAATCATGTATGCTGCCCCGGCCAGCAGGGCTGGTAATTAGCAAAGCTCGAGAAGGGGAAATACCTGGAAATGGGACAAAAGAGGCGCAGAAAGAAGGAGACCAAGCAGAGACTTGTCAAGGTCTAGTTTATTTTAGGCACAGTCAGCATATATAAAGACAAAAGCCGGGGGGGGGGCAATTCTTTGGGGGAATTCCAGAGTGCGCAATTGCTGCAACAGGATGTCTTGAGATAAGGATACCGGTGGCTTCAGAGCGGATCCATATATCACAAGCTGTCACAAGATGTTGCTAGGCGACAGATCATGCCACCTCTCTGCTCAAGGCCGTTGTCATGGGTAACGGCATGTTCGTGCCAGTGAGGTGATTCAGAGGTTAACATGGAGGCGGTTATGTTAGGCTGAAAAACAACTCTGAGAGTATATATATATTTGGTTCCCTACAGTATGCAACCTTTTTTCATAGCTTTGAATTTTGTTACTGAGATATTAATGGGTTTTATATCAGCGTGTATAAGGCAGATTATTCTGTTCATTTCTTGCAATGTCTTTTCTAGAGTCTGGTCACTGGACATTCGATTTCAACTTTTTGTTTTTGTTTTTTAGTTTTATTTTATCCCATTCCCCCACCCCACTCTGTGTTTAACAGCCTTATTTTCATTTTTTCCTTCTATTTTCACGTTTTTCCTTGTCTTTTCCTTCTTTTCTCCCACCTCTCTTGTTCTCTTCCCATTTGACTATTTTCTTCCCATTTCCCAATACCCATTATACATTTTAGTCTTTATTTCCACTATCAATTTCCAGAGAAACAATGCAGTATTTAAACTTGTGTGTTTGATTTATTTCACTTAAGCGTATGGTCTCAAGGAATGTCTGACACTCATCCGTTTTATGGCAGAGTAGTTAGTAATCCATTGTATTAACAAACTACATCTTCCTTTCCATTCATCCGCTGATGGGCATTTGGGTTGTTTTGAAGATTCAGCTATTACAAACTGTGCTACTGTAAATGTGGGTATGCATATATTCCTGTGGTATGATGCTTCTAATTTTTTTGGAAAGATACCAGGGAGAATAGCTGGGTCAAATGGAACCTCTAGTTTAAGTTTTTTGAGGAATCTACACACTGGTTCCCACAGTGGTAGTACTGTCTGCACTCCCACCATCAGTGGGTTTCTATCTCCCCACAGCCCCCGCTAGCATTTGTTATTGGTTGATTTCATAATAGCCATTCTTTCTGAGTTGAGGTGGAAAATCAATGTTGTTTTCATCTACATCTCTCAAATGACCAGTGATGCTGAACATTTTTTCATGATTATTTGTTGTTTTACTTCTTTGTCCGAAAAATGTCTATTTATTTCAGGTGCTCATTTTTTTATTGTGCCTTTAAATTCGGGGGGGGGTCCTGTTTTTTTTTTTAAGTTCTTTATGTATTTTGGGGTTTTTTTTTTTTTTTTTTTTTTAGTCCTTTATATATTCTAAATAGTAGTCCTTTATCTGATGAGTAGCTGGTTAAAAAAAAATTTTTTTTCCCCCATGCTGTGGGTTGTTGTTTCTTTGCTCTGTTGGTAGTTTCTTTGGCTTCTTAATAAGATATGGTCCCAGATACTGATGCTTTGTAATATTTCCTTTGCAGTCTGGGTTTTTATCATGAAGTCTTTGCCTACTAGTATGTCCTTGAGCGTTTCCCAGTTATATTTTCCAGGAGATTTAGTGTTTCCATTTTAGTGTTTAGATCTTTGATTCATTTAAGTTTTAGGCTACATATGGTGAACAATAAGGGTCTAGTTTTTTGGTATTTTTTTTTGTTTGTTTGGTTTTGGTTTTTAATTTAATTTATTGGTACATTCTAGGTAGACAGTACAGTTACATTCATTACTGGGATCTTTTACCTTTACATGCCAGGTCTTGGTTCTCATTTTTTCCTCTTGTCCCCACCTTCCCTTCACCCTCCCTTCCCCTCCCCACCTTCAAACACTTTAATTCATTTTTACATTTTCTCATATTGTTTTCCTTTTCCCTTATTCCCCCTTCCCTATCCTTCTCACTGTCCCTACACCTTTGGTCCTTTTCTTCCTATTTGCTAATTGTCCCATTAGGAACTTGAGTACTATTTTAGCTTTTCACACCAGAGATACTATTTGGTATTTGCATATGTGTGCCTTATTTATTTCACTTAGAAGTATCCTCAAAATGTGCCCATTAACTATGAGTGAATCTACTTTCTCATTCTTTATGGCTGACTACTATTTTATTTTATAGAAAAACCACATCTTCTTTATCCAGTTTCAAATTGATGGGCAGATGGGCTCTTTCCAAGTTTTAGCTATTACAAACTGTGCCGCTATAAACATGGGTGCGCATGATTCTTTAATAAGGGTCTAGTTTTAATCTTCGGCTTATGAAAATCTAGTTTTTCTAACCATTTATTAATCAAGCTTCTTTTCTTCAAGTGAAGGTGTTTGGCTTCTCTGTCAGACATTAAGTAGCTGAGTGTTTTTAGACTTGCTTCTGGATCTTCTAGTCTATTACATCAATTCTAAGGTCTGTTTTTTCCAGTACCACACTGTTTTCATGACAGTAGCTTTGTAATATAGGTTAAAGTCCCAGATTATTGCCTAGAATTGCCTTTCCTATTCTGTTTCCTCTGTCTCTGAATGAATTGTAGGATTTTTTTTTTTTCTAATTCTGCGAGATGTTCTGTTGGAGTTTTTATCAGAATTGCATTAAATCTGTTTAACAATCTTGGATGTATGGCCATTTTCATTATATTGATTCTTCCTATCCAAATATATCTTACCATTTTCTGATATCGTTTTCAATATCCTTTTGCACAGTACTGTAATTGTCCATGTAATAGTGATCTTTTATTTCCTTTATTACATTGATCCCTAGATATTTCATTTTATTAGATGCTATTGGGAAAGGGATTATTTCTCTCATTTCTCACTAAGTCTGTCATATGTGTACAGAAGGCTACTGAATTTTGTATGTTGACTTTGTATTCAGTTATACCACTGAATTTGGCTTTCAAATCTAGAAGTCTTTGGTGGAGTTTTTGGGATCATCTAAGTAGAGTCTCATATAATCTGCACACGAGGCTAATTTAACTTGTTCATTTCTTATTTATGTTCCTGTTATTTCTTTCTCATCTAATTGTGCTGGCGAATATTTCCAGAAGTATATTAAACAAGAGTGGTGACAGTGGACATCCTGATTTTAGGATGAAAACTTTCATTTTTTATGTCCATTAGTACTATCAGATTGAGATATAGACCCATCTGTAACACTTTTCTGTAGTTTTACTTATTATGAATGGGAGTTGGACCTTGTCAAACACTTTTTCTGCATCTGTTGAGAGAATCATAGTGTTTGTCTGTGGCTCTCTTAATGCAGAATATTACATTTATTGATTTGCATATGTTGAACCATCCCTGCATCCCTGGAATGAATCCAATTTAATTTGGTCATGGTGTGTAACCTTCTCTATGATTTGTTGCATTCTGTTTGCCAGTACCTTATTGAGGATTTTTACATCTGTGTTCATTAAAGAGACTGGCCCATACATAATTCTCCTTTTTGGTTGGATCTTTCTCTCTGTTTTTGATCAAGGTAATGCTTACTTCCAGGAATAAATTTGGGAGTATTCAGTTTCATTAAAGAGTTTGAGGAGTAGCTGCATTAGACCTCTAAATTTCTTGTAGGATTCATCAGTGAATCCATCAGGGCCAGAGCTTATCTTTATTGGTAGTTTTTAAATTACATATTCCATTTCATTAGCCGATGATG